TAAGTGTATCTGCGTCATTATGGAAGGCATGTGAGTAAACAGAAGGCCAGCTGTATTCGCACGCAGAATCTGTTGCTTAGACGTACTCTCAGGCCTCAACTGACCAGGGAAGATAGACTTCACTCATGTATCACTTTTCCATAAAATAATACTATTAAACTAAAGACTTGATTTTGTTGTTGCTGTTGTTGTTTGTTTATTTGGGGGCCACACCCAGCAGTGCTCATATCTTACTCTTGGCTTTGTGCTCAGGGATAACTGCTGGTGGGCTCAGAGGACCATATGGGTGCCAGGGATTGAACCTGGGTTGGCCACATGCAAGGTCAATGATCTACTCACTGTACTATTACTCTGGCTCCAAGGCTTGATTTTTAATCAAGTTCATAATATCTTTCTCAAAATATATGTAGAAGAATCAGGGGGTGCGGGGAGTACAGCCCACAGGGATGGAGCATGTGCCTGGAATGTGAAGTCTCCATTTTCCATTCCAGGCACCAGAAGGTCTCCTGAGCATCACTGGGGTGTCCCAGGTGGCCATCCAGAGCTGGACCATTGCCAGAGTGGTCCTCAGATCCCCTGAACATTTTTAGGAGGCCCTCTTCCCTCTAAAGAAATAGAGAAGGAGCCACAAGTTTAAAAGAGCTTTCCTAGAATACAAAACCCTTCCCTACATTTGCTCAAGTACCCCCAGCAGTAGGGCGTTTGCCTTGCGTGCAGCCAGCCTGACCGAGCCAGGTTCGATTCCTCTGCCCCTCTCAGAGAGCCTGGCAAGCTACCGAGAGTATTCAATATGCCAAACACAGTAACAAGAAGACTCACAATGGAGACATTACTGGGCCCGCTCGAGCAAATGGATGAACAATGGAGGACAGTGTTTGTTTGTTTGTTTGTTTGTCCCTATATTTAGCACTGTAGAGGGTTAGAAGAAGAACTTTTAGGGGCTATAGCGAGTACAGCAGGGAGGGTGTTTGCCTGGCACATGATTGACCTGGGTTCGATCCCCAGCTTCTCATATAATCCCTGGAGCACTGCCAGGAGAGATTCCTGAGTGTAGAGCCAGGAGTAACCCCTGAGCAATGCCCAGTTGTGAGCTAAAAGGAAAAAAAAGAAAAGGAAAAGGAGGAGAAGGAAAAGAAGGAAGAAGTCTTGTATCAGCAACCTGGGTTAAAACCCTGGCTTAAATTATCCCTCCCTCCCTCCCTCCCTCCCTTCCTCCCTCCCTCCCTCCCTCCCTCCCTCCCTCCCTCCCTTCCTTCCTTCCTTCCTTCCTTCCTTCCTTCCTTCCTTCCTTCCTTCCTTCCTCTGCCCTTTCCTCCACCTCTTCCTTCCTCTCTCTTTGGTCATCCATGTCTGAGGGGAGAAAAGAGTGATGATACTAGGCATAAAATCCAGGGCATCTCACATGTGAGGGACTCAGTGCTCTACCACTGAGTCACATCCCTGGCTCCAGTTCCTACTGTTTAATCCTTAATAGCCTTATCTTTCTTATTTACAAAGTGAAATTAATAAAAATATAACTTTATGAAGTTTTTAAAAAAAATTTTATTAGTGAAACACCATGAGGTACAGTTGTAGACTTACATATTTTTGTGCTTGGGTTTCAGTTATACGAAGTTTTAATGAAAAGTAAAAGGTCCACAAAAAGTACCTAGCCCAGAATAAGGCAAATATTTAGACTCCATAGACGCTAGCCATTTCAGTGTTGGCAACATGTAGACACTAATTGTGGAAAACATTTCAATAAGACTCTAATATACTAAGTTTATATTTATATACTAAGTTTACACTAAGTGTCTATCATTTTTGGGGAATCCCTACCTTAATTTGGAGCTGTAAAGTAAAGTTAGGTTTTATAAAAAAAAAAATCTTTCGCTGGGACCTTAAAAATTTTGCTCCATGGCTTGGAGGCCAGCCACACATGCTAGGGGTAAAGGGAACTCAGATAGAGAAGGGAGCACCAAATAAAGGGTGTTGGGAGGATCCTCCCAGGATGAGAGAAGCATGCCGAAAGTAGACTATAGACCAGACATGATTGCCACTCAATGCCTCTTTTGCAAAGCACAACACTCAAAACGAGAGAGAGAGAACAGAGGGGAATGCCCTGACACAGAGGCAGCGTGGGATGTTGGAGATGGGGGAGTGGGAGGGATACTGGGATCCGTGGTGGTGGGAAATGGGTACTGGTGGAGGGATGGGTACTCTGTCATTGTATAATTGAAACCCAAGCACAAAATTTGTAAGTCTACAACTGTACTTCATGGTGTCTCACTAATAAAAAATAAATAAATAAAAATTAGATTAGCTGGAAGACCATTTTAATGCAGCTAACTTCCTGCTGAACCAGAGACCTCAAAGATAGAACAGCAAAACAAAGAAAGTATCCTTCTCTCTCCCTGCCCTAACCAAGGTGCACAGCCACACTGGAATGCAGCTTGAGGGCTCAGGGCCCAGGCTCTGATCTTGTTCTCCACCTCACCTACAAGGGAGTGTTTGCTCAACCCTTCCTCTTCCTCCTGCTCCTCCTCAGGAACAGGAAGTTGGTGAGGGAAGAGCAAGCAGCTGCCCTTTTCAAGGCTGAGACCCAGAATTCCTACTCACAACCTCCACAGCCACCTCATTGCTGAGATATTCCCACAAGGCTGCCAAAGCTAAAAGACAGCCTGGGAAGTGCAGCTTCAGCCGGAAGCTCAAGCCCATCTACACTGCAGTGACTTCTTTGCTCTAGAGGAGGAGAAAAGAATTCATGATGGCAACAATGAGTACCACCCTGAATCTTATCTCCTAAGCAACTACTGTTTCACTGACTATAAGAAGTGATTTTCTTTTTTTTAAAGAAAACATAGAATTCTTTATTATATTGACTTCAAAGGAATATTCAAAGATTCAATTCTACTGGCAAACAAAATAACAAATTATATCATATCAAACTAAAAAGGTTTTCTTTTTTTTAAGGTTTGAAGAATCGTATTTTATTTTATTTTTTATTTTTTTAATTTTTTAATGAATCACCGTGAGGTACAGTTACAGACTGACAAACTTTCATTCTTATATTTCAGTCATACAATGATCGAGTACCCATCCCTCCACCAGTGCCCATCCTCCACCACCGATGATCTCAGTATCCCTCCCACCACCCTCACCCCACCCTACCTCTGTGGCAGGGCATTCCTTTTTGTTCTCTCTCTACTTTTGGGTGTTGTGGTTTGCAATATAGGTATTGAGTGGCCATCATGTTCGGTCTATAGTCTACTTTCAGCACGCATCTCCTATCCCGACCTGGCCCTCCAAGCACCCTTTACTTGGTGGTCCCTTCTCTATCTGAGCTGCCATTTCCCCCAGCATGTGAGGCCAGCTTCTAAGCCATGGAGCAATTCTCCTGGTACATATCTCTACTATTCTTGGTATAAGTTTTGTATTCTGTTAAAAGAATTGATTTTCAATCTTCCTATATCCACAGACCAGTAACTATTGAAGAAATATTTTGCAGGCTGCTGAAGCAGAAACAAAAACACTGCTTTTGATAAGAATATTATATATGCCACATTTACAATAGTACTGACACAGGCATACCACGATAGACCTCTTTTGTGGACCAGCAGGACATTTCAGTGGACTTTTCCTGGTCTGTGGACCAGTGGTTGAATCCTGCCCTAATCCACTCTTGATTTTAAGACATGAGGTCATTTGATGGAGTATTTGTTATTGTCACCACCTGGCTTTCCTCTCAGCTCTACTGTAAGACATATCCCAATTTCAGAGATGGTCAGATATGAAAAATGTGCCCTAATCCAGAAGAATTACCTAATTGGGAAGATCAAGGGTAGTAATTCAAAGGGTAATAATTCAAAGAAGTATTTTAGTAGTCTTTTTTTTGTGTATGTGACTTTCTCTGGGGGAAGCATTGGAGCAGAGATCAAGCTCAGGTTGACTCACTGATGTAATATTACAAAGAGTTGGTTAGTGTAGATTTGTTCTAAGCCAAATTCCATTAGCTGCTAGGAGAGGAACTCTTGACCTCCCCAGTTTGGGGACCATTTATCTCAATTTTTACTCATTCGTATCTGGATCTGCCATGAGAGTGAGCACTAAGAAGGGTTTCTCATTCCCAGACACTTACAGAACAAAGATTGGCAATGAACTCAGGGACCAGATATAGCCAAGGCATGTGCATGCATTTTTCAGCAAGCATCTCAGGCGGTTAATGACCTGAGCCTGTGGTGAAGACACTTTACTTGATGCCACAAGACTGTCCTGTGAGCTCCAGAGCTCATGAAGGGAGAAAGCTATCCATCTAGGCCAGATGTCAAACTGGTGCCCTAATAGGTATCCAGTAGTCGAGGTAAGGTCAGAGCTATCAAATATCGCTGAGACAGGAAAGATCATTCAGGGGAAGGGAAGTCAGGACCTAAGGTATTTCGCCAAATGTGGTGTTGGTAGGTTTACTCTTCAGCTCAACTTCCTTTAGTGTCTGATATGGAACACAACACAGGTGATATTTGTTTAATTTAATGAAAGAAAGAACCAATTTGGGGCATGACCAAATAGAGCTGAGCTGACTTTTCCTGGGGGAACCTGCAGGCTAGATTCTAGCAGATGGACAGACTGAACTGTTCTCTCATTTGTCAACATTATGTCTCAGGATTTCAGAGCTGAGTCCTCAGTGGGATTCTACCAAATTTAGTCATGTTCATGCTAATTTTCTCCGGTTTAATAAACATGCAACTCATCATAGAGCACACCTTCCTTCCCCAAGCACTCAGTGCAGGTCAACAGGAAATGCTATTGCTATTAACCCCAAAATAGACATTTGTTGTGTTCATAAATCTCGGAAATGGGACATATTAAGCACATCAGAGATTACCCTTTTCAGACCTACAGTGAAAGAGCCTGGTTGGTTGAATGAGATCATTTGATTTGGTGACTTTGCATGTGGTTAATGAACAAGTCTCAAATGCAGGTCTTGCTGTCTATTGCTACTGAAATCTGCTTCTCTTGTGTAGATCACTGTTACAGATGAGGAAGTTAGTAACCCATCCTTTTTAGATCTGGTGAGAACTCCCCAAATGAGGAAGTGCACCCTTATTCTTATGTTTGCTTGGTAAGTTCGACTTTTGATGGATTTTAAAGTTTGTGTCAAATTTGCAGCATTGCCCTATTTCTCAGCTGCTGATGTGCCGTTTCAATCCTGCCTCTCTGCTGTCTTGATGTTTGCTGCAGGTTCACAAGTGCCGTGGTTTACCAAGGACTCGTCATGCGCCTGGGAATCATAGGAGGCAACCTCTATATTGACTTCCTCATTTCCGGAGTGGTGGAGTTACCAGGAGCGATCTTGATCTTACTGACCATTGAACGCTTAGGCCGCCGTCTTCCTTTTGCTATCAGCAACATAGTAGCAGGGGTGGCATGTTTTGTCACTGCATTCTTACCAGAAGGTAATGGTTTCCCCAATATGTACTGCAGCTAAGATGAAAAATTCAAATCAAAATAATCAAGAAATGGGGAACATCTTATCCCTGGGAAATGTACCATTTGCCTCCAAATCACAGTACCAGGCAGTCTGTAGTGATGTCTCAATCTTGTGCTGAATCTGTGCACGAGATCATTCTGCTCTCTGCACGTGGAGGCTCACTCATGGGTGCAAAGGGTGAGCTCCAGCTCATGTGGATGCAGTTGACTTTCCATCACTGCATCATGTGGATGCAGTTGACTTTCCATCACTTTCCATAATTTGCATTTGTGCCACCGCTTACATTGTTACCTTGGTTTCTCAGCATGTGTCCTGGCTACTCTGGCCCATGCAAAGGGTGGGGTAACACAAGGATGGGTGTAGTTCTGGGCTTCAGAGGGTCCACAACCTGTTAAGGGACTGGACACTATAAGATCTGATGCTAAAGGAAAGAATATAGTACTTGCAGAAATAGCAAACAAACAAAAAAAGTCAGTGAGGTGAGCGTTTAATCCTGGAATTTGGAAGGGTCCTGGAGGCAGAACTCAGCATATGAAGGAAGAAGTCAGAGCAGGAAGGAAGGAGGCAGTGAGTTTTTTTGAGAGCAGAGCAAGGTTCCCCAGAGTGGAGTATAGGACTGTACTCCAACCCTGGGACTGGTTACTGTGAACCCACTCTCAGCAGCTGCAGCCATTTGTACAATGACATTCAGGGGAGATGCTGTGAGCAAAAATCAAGGCTCGGTGGGGTCTGTGCTAGAGAACGGGACAATCTCCATGATCATTTTGGGGCACGGAGGCCTGTATGTGGCAGCAGGGGAGCTGGGGTCCATCTTAGAGGCATATTAAGCGCCTTGGACTGGTCCCCACTTGGCTTTGATGAACTGGCAAGAATAAATCTCCATTCCCTCCCGCTCTGGGTCAGCCAGGCTGCCGAAGTTGGCAGTCCTGTTTTCCCACTTAAAGCAGCCTCTGGGCTTGGTGCCTGGTCTGTTGGATTAGCATCAGTAAGTCTCTCCCTCCCATCATGTTTGGTTGTTTCAAACATGTCAGCAGCAGACTGGCACCCCTACCGAGGCCAAAGCACCAAACAGAAACTTCCCTTCCACTTTTCCATGGTCTGGAGGATGAAATTCTGGAAAAAGAAATCAGTTTTCTTCTGTCTCCTCATTTACTACTCACTGCTCTTGACCTCGATTTTTGGAGCTCTAATTAAAGTCTGACAAACAAAGCCCTTTCATTTTTCACTGCACCCTGCTACCAGCGCAAACCCAGCATTTACACAGGGTGGCTGCAGACCTGGCTGTTTGGGTTAAGACTGTGAAATGAAAACTGGGTCTTTTATGTCTCTCTCAGAAGAAAGCAGTTCTGTGGGATTTCCCTGACACCCCCAGGTGCAAAGCCCCTCTCTGTGCTTCAATAACCGTCTGACTCTTCCCTGACTCCCTTGCAGGAATCCTTGTCTCTGGGTCCGCCTGATTCTGTAGAAGACAGATCTGGTTTTTCCTTTTTTTTTTTTTTTTTTTTTTGTATTTTTGTTGTTGCTGCTGTTCGTCTTTTGCATTTGGTTGGTTTTAAATTGATTTTTGCTTGGTTTGGTTTTGGGTTTTGAGCCTCAGCTAATGGTGCTCAGAGGTTGTCCCTGGCTCTAGACTTAGGAGTGGATCCTAGCAGTGCTCAGAGACCAAGTGTGGTGTAGGAATTGGAACCAGGGTTGGGTGTCTACATAGCCACTCAAAAAGTGAGGCTTTTCCTCCCGTCCTATCTCTCTGGTCCTCTTTTTTTTGTTTTGGATCATATCTGGTGGTGCTCAGGGACTGCTCTGGTTCAGTGCTCACGGCTGACTCCTTGTGGTGTGTGGAGGGAACCGTATGGTGCTGGGGGGGGAACCCAGGCCTCCTGCATGTGAAGCACGCAATCCATCCATTGAGCCTTTTTCTCGCCCTTAGTCCCTTTTTAGCCTTTATCTTGAAACTGGCAGGGCTGGGGAAATAGTTCAATGGACTAAGGCAAAGACGTTGCATGAGGGAGGACCAGTTCAACTGCTGGTACCACATGGCCCCTCCCCACACCAGCAGGAGCCACCCCAAGTAGAGCCGGGAATCACTCCTAAACGCACACAGCTGTATGTGGCCCCAAACAAGCGGAAACCTGCCGCTCCAGGAGGAACTTAGCACTGGGCTGGGACGAATAGCGTTTGTGAATGAACGTCATAGGCACGACTCACGCATCCTAGCGGGTTGCTTCACTCTCCCTTCGGTTGTGTGCTGAACTGTGCCCAGAATCACTTTGTCCTAGGGCAGTCCAGTGGCAGTGCATGCTGGGAAGAGATGGCCTGTTCCAGAAAGGTCCAGCTCACAGAGACCAGGGCTGCTTCAGGCTGCAACCAGAAGTGCTTTCTGATCTACATTCTCTGAGTCCACCTGATATTTCCTCTGTGCTCTTTCATAGTCTCTGTGTATTCTCTGATGGTCTCTGCTACTCTCTGTATATTACCTGATATTCTCTTTTTATTTTTAATATATATTTTTTGCTTTTTTTGGTCACACTCAGCGATGCTCAGGGATGACTCCTGGCTCTGCACTCAGGAATTACTCCTGGCGGTGTTTGGGGGACCATATGGGATGCTGGGGATTGAACCCGGGTCGACCACATGCAAGGCAAATACCCTACCCGCTGTATTATCACTCCAGTCCCAATATTCTCTGATAGTCTCTGTTTTTTGATATTCTGTATATTCCTGTATATTCTGATATTCTCTGGATGTGTATATATATATATATATATATATATATATATTTCTCTGCATATCCTCTGAGGGTCTCTGAATATTCTCTGGCCGTCTTTGTGCTTGCTCTGAAAGCTTGTCTATGTTCTGGTGTGTCTGTATATGCACAGGATTTTCATGGTGTGTGTGATGTCTTTGGTTTCTAGGTCTCTGCAGCCTTGCCTCCGTGGGTAACTAGCACCATGGTTGTTGGTGGGACCCACTACAGAGAGACCTTGATTTGGTAGGAAAAGTACAGTCATGCAGGAGGCTGATGTAGACAGTCATGTTCTTTCCAAGGTGGCAGGCAAGGAGTGCTGCAGGGGAAAGGGCACCTGCGGGCCAGGGTGCAGGCCATCTGGGTGGCAACATCCACTTTCCGTGACTCTTCGACTGTACCGCCTGCTCATTCAATAAGGGCAGGGTGCAATGCATTTCCTAGACCCCTCTCTGGCCTTCTTGGAAAAGCAACTTTCAAATGAAACTGTATTTCCCAGTATTCCTTGCAGAGCAGCTGAACGCCACCCCCACCATCCTTGGCTTCGGGCTCTGGTTGTTACAGGCCCAGATGGTGTCCCAGACACCAGTGCATTCTCAGCTGCTTTGCACTCCAGCCTTGGGAATGGGGACCTCCCGGCAGTGATTGGGGGGGGGGTCCTTGAACCCCAGGTCTCCTGTGCTCATCCTCCTAAGTAAGGGTTTCTTTCAGTGAGTTTCCACTTTTGTTGTTTGCTGAATGTTCTCCCATGAAAACATCCATTGGCCAAATGAGCTCGATTGTCCTCTATTCCCCTCATTCATGCCAACTTTTCTTCTAAAACATCTTGGGTTCAGGAAAGGGCAAGAATTGTCGAAGCAAGAGGACCACTTAGTGCTGCATTCCATATCAGCCCGAGAATCAAGGAACGTTTTCCTTTCGGGAGCCAAGGCAGCCCTGCTCTGGGTTGCCCCCCTCCCTCGGGTCACACTGTCCTTCCTACCCAGCTGCCAGGGCAGCCTTGGAATCCCATCGCTCTCCCAAAACCCAGAACACCGACTTTTCAGCACAGAAATGGTTGACTCCTTCTTCCCTTGAAACACAAAAGGGAGGATTTCATAGAGAATGCTTGGCGTTCCCCTCTAGTCTCTGTGGAGAAGGGAGGGGTGCTTTGTCCAGAGCTGCAGCATGCCGGCAAGGCCCATTTTTACATGAATGAGCTGACTCGTAGTTAAGAATCAGACACCTGAGGCTGGGTGCTAGCCCAGGGTTCAGGGGTGCAGGCTCTGCATGTGCTCAGCCCGGGCATCAACTGATGGGGACTCCTGAGCAATGCCAAGCCTGAGCGGCGCCTCCTCCCAGGGCTCTCGCAATGAATCATGCAGCCCATTTGACAGAGTATCACCGCAACAGGCCCTGGTGAGCCCCCTCCCCTCAAAAGAACATGTTCCCTCTGATGGGGGGTGGGAGGGATACTGGGATCCGTGGTGGTGGGAAATGGGCACTAGTAGAGGGATGGGTATTTGATCATTGTATAATTGAAACCCAAGCACAAAAATTTGTAAGTCTACAACTGTACCTCATGGTCTCTCACTAATAAATTTTTTTTTTTTGCTTTTTGGGTAACACCTGGCAATGCACAGGGGTTACTTCTGGCTCTGCACTCAGGAGTTACTCCTGGCGGTGCTCAGGGGACCATATGGGATGCTGGGAATCGAACCCAGGTCAGCTGCGTGCAAGGCAAACGCTCTACCCGCTGTGCTATCTTTCCAGCCCCACTAATAAAAATTTTTAAAAAATTAAAAAAAATCACAAAAAAAGAAATAAAGATGATGAATAATTGTGAGGCACTCTTGCAAAATACAATAAAAAGGGGAGCTTAAGAAGATGAGAAACTGTCCAAAGTTTCCCACAATTAGTAATTGTGATCCAACTTTTATTTTTTGGCTTACCTTTAGCATAACAGAGGATTGTCAATAAATATTTTGGTATATTTCTTTAAAAAATAATGTTCCCTCTGGCTGATTTCTTTTTCTTAAAAAAATTTTTTTTTCATTGAATCACTATGAGATAGACCCTTACAAAGCTGTTCATGATCGGGTTTCAGTCATGCAGTGTTCCAACACCCATCCCTCCACCTGTGTACATTTCCTAGCACCAGTGTTCCCAGTTTCCTCCCATCACCACCCCACTCCCAGACTGCCTCTACAAGGAGCACCTCTCTCTCTCTCTCTCTCTCTCTCTCTCTCTCTCTCTCTCTCTCTCTCTCTCTCCCCCCCCCCCCTTCCTTCTCCCCCCTCCCTCCCTCCTCCTTTTGGGCATTGTGGTTTGCAATACTGAAAAGTTATCAGGAATATCAAGTGTGTGGTCAAGTGTTATTAAAAGTAACCCCTCACTTTTCCCTCCCCAACTCTGTTTGCAGGAATGCCCTGGTTAAGGACCACAGTGGCTACCGTGGGCAGACTAGGGATAACTATGGCCTTTGAAATAGTTTATTTGGTCAACTCGGAATTGTACCCAACGACCTTACGGTACGTCCTCCTTGATTTCGCAATTTCGCCAATGTAATTCTGAAACCCAACGTCTTAGGTTGATCTCCAGGCTAAACTAGTTTCCTTCAGTTGGTGGGGCATGGATTCAGCCCTGGCCTGGATTCAGCCAAGGAACAAAGGCTGCCTTCCAGCGGCTCTTTGTCGCCCCCTGCGGGCTGCACTGCATGTTTGAAAAGAAGAATTTCTCATATCTCTATGCTCTTATCTCTATGCACATATCTCTATGAACAGCCGTCATTCTGTGGAAGGTTCTAGATAGGAGCCAGGAAGGCTGGTTAGCACTCCAGCTGAGCTGCAGGTAAGATCTGAACTCATCAGCATCACCTGCTCCAGGGGCCTTTCCCCAGGCGCCGCTGTAAGAGGAAGCACTCTAGTGCCCTGGGTCTCTATACCCATTTGCCTCCTTTCCTGGAGGATATTTGTGGGCTCAGAGCATGGCCAAGGGAAGGTGCCTCAGACATGGCAGTTGCCTCCGACTCAGTTAATCTGTTCCCTTTCTCTCCATGACTCGCACTGAGGCTGGTCAGATGGTACAGAATAAAAACGGTTTGCTTAGAGCCTGAGAAAATCAACTATTTGAAGTCGAAACTGTAGAAGTAGAAGTAGATGAGTTAGGACACTGGCCTTGAGTGCAGCCAACCCCAGATCAACCCTCAGTACTGCATTATCTTCCCACAAGCACTGCCAAGAGTGAGTGCCGGGAATCACTCCTGAGTACCGCCAAGTCTGCCCCCACCTTTACCAAAAAATAAAGTGGGGGTTGGAAACCCATCGAAGTGGAAAAAGTTATCATTTCTTTGTTATTTCAATGTATTGATATTGTATTTATCCTGATTTTCTTTGAATATTTCTCACTAAAACACTTTTATTTTCAATCCGCAGGAACTTTGGAGTTTCTCTCTGTTCAGGTTTGTGTGATTTTGGGGGAATCATAGCCCCATTTTTGCTCTTCCGGCTAGCAGCTGTGTGGCTTGAACTACCTCTTATCATTTTTGGTGAGAATTTGTTTCATATATTATTTTAAGTGCTATTAAAATTTTTAGCATTAATATAACTCCATAGTGATTATTATGTTGGATATGAATGCTATCCATCAAAAGTATTCATTTTGAGGGACCAATGGGAATACAAGAAAATATGAAACCAATAGGAATACAATGAAATATGGAACCCTAAACAATTTCAATTTTCTTTAGGCTGAAGAGTTGTAATGATCTGCATCCAATTTAACTTTCTTTTGTTAAGTTCAAAGTCAAAGACAGTGAAACTTTTGATACTGGGGAACAAAACTACTCATTTTCAGGGGAAAAAAAGTAGATCTTCCGTATGTTTTAAAAATAAGTCTAAAACTTACTTAGACTTGGGGGTATGGTGCCTCCAGCAGGTTAACCTGTATCTGCGGGGCGAGTGCATCAGCAGCCTGATGTGCCTTCAGACTTCCAGATACCCCAAAATTGCCGCTCTGCCTTTGGTCGGACTCCAACAACTTGGGGCAAAGTTTACAAGAAATTAAACAGCCAAAAGTTAGGTATGTGGGAGCCACACCCACAAACCTCCTCTGGCTCAGCTATACAAGCTAATTTATTAGCCTTATTACAGAGATCCATAAATAAATTTTGAAAGTTATCAAAAGCCATTGTCATTGTCTTTGTTCATCTATTTGCTTGAGTGGGCCCAGTAACGTCTCCATTGTGACACTTGTTACTGTGTTTGGCATATCGAATACATCATGGGTAGATTGCCAGGCATTGCCATGTGGGCGAGATAGTAGCTTGCCGGGCTCTCCGAGAGGGGTGGAGGAATCGAACTCATGCAAGGCAAATGCCTGCTGGAGCAATAGCACAGTGGGTAGGGCATTTGCCTTGCAAGCAGCGAACATGGCCAGCCTGAGTTCAATTCCTCCGCCCCTCTCAGAGAGCCCGGCAAGCTACTGAGAGTATCTCACCTGCACGGCAAAGCCTGGCAAGGTACCCATGATGTATTCGATATGCCAAACACAGTAACAACAAGTCTCACGATGGAGATGTTACTGGAACCGCTCGAGCAAATCAATGAACAACGGGAGGACAATGACTTGACAGTGACTTGATCAAAAGCCACAGTTAATCTCAGACCCGTGCATGACTGAATAGACTGGAATAAATTGGAGTGGGGGGTGGTGTTGGCTTGTGTCCACCCAAGCAGATCCCCCAGCAGCCACTTGTTTCCATAATCCAAAATCTCCACCATGCCCCTGGCTCGACTCTACCATCTCAGGATGAATCTCACCGAGACATAATCTACTGAAAATTATGGTCCGCAGATTTTGTGACTGAAATCTCCAGACTTTCTCGGGGTCAGAATGGGCTACCTCCCCCCACTTCCCTGTACTTCCAGAAGCCTTGGCAGTCGCATACACACTCCAAGGCTTCCAGTTAATTGAAAAGCTACGTCAACCTTATTGTCCTGATAAAAATCCTGAATTCCCTGAACAAACACCATGACCTCTTAGCACCTGCATTGCAAACCATAATGCACAAAAGGAAAAGGAGAGAGAGAGAGAGCAAGAAGGAAAGTGCTTCCCATAGAGGGAGGCTGGAAGTAGGGGGTGGGGGGTTGAGGGGTGGTGGTGGGGAAACAGGGGACATTGGTGATGGGAAAAATACATTGGTGGAGGGATGGCTGAAACCCAATTGTGAACAGCTTTGTAATGGTTTATATCACAGGTATTCAATTTAAAAAACTTTTTAAAAAGTAACATGGAGTTCATTCCCAATTCAATCAGCTTAATCAATAGCTGAATAAATAGCAGTACTTCTACATTTAAAAATAGAATAAAATAAATAAAACTTAGACTTATTATTAAGACTAAAAACTCAGTCTTTTTCAGGGTCCTATCTCTATCAGTATCCTGCCTCCATTTGCTGTGATGCTAAGGAAAGAGACTAGAGACACAGACCCCTCTCATGTGTACACACAGAAACCTACTTGAGAGTCATCACATTCATGCTCATCTTGCTTGTCCCCAGTCTTCACAGAATTCATGAAAGAGGATGTGAAAGAAATTCAGGAAAAAATTGAGAAAGAGAGAGAGAGAGGGAGGGAGGGAAGGAAGGAGAAGAGAACTGCCTGCTGTAGAGGCAGGCTGAGGGGCAGGGTGGTGATTGGAGGAAATTGGGGACACTGGAAAATGTGCTTGTGAGGGGATGGGTGTTGGAACACTATATGGCTGAAACCTAATCGTGAGCAGCTTTGTAAGGGTCTGTCTTGCAGTAATTAATTTTTAAAAATCTTTTCAAGAAAGAAGGTAAAGGTAAAGGTAAAGGCCCTCCCGTTGATCATCGATTTGCTCGAGCGGGCCCAGTAACGTCTCCATTGGAGACTTTGTTGTTACTGTGTCTGGCATATCGAATACTCTCGGTAGCTTGCCGGGCTCTCCGAGAGGGGCGGAGGAATCGAACTCGGGTCGGCCATGTTGGCCGCTTGTAAGGCGAACGCCCTACCCGCTGTGCTATCGCTCCAGCCCCAAAGAAAGAAAAAAAGAAAGAAGAAATTCAGCCCAGTCTGTTCTAATTATCTACCTAAAAACTCAGAAAGTAATTTGAAAGGCAAGGTACATTTATTTGGGATCAGAGAATTACTATTTGGAAGTGTAAAGATTTATGTGGGAAACTTAAATCTAAGGATCCCAGTGGGCTCTGGGAGATTGCCCTTGGGTAGAGGTTGGGACCTATCACATAACATGATGGATGAAGGAAAGGGGGAATGGATATAGTGTGGGGGGCAGGAAGAAACAACAGAGGTGATTATTTTATGATGGGTCTATTTCCCCCTCTGAAGCTGAAAGTGACATCTTTTCTGAGTGTTTGTAGTGTAGTAGGCACTCAATAAATTATTGAGGAAAGAAGGAAGGAAGGAAGGAAGGAAGGAAGGAAGGAAGGAAGGAAGGAAGGAGAGAGGAAGGAAGGAAGGAAGGAAGGAAGGAAGGAAGGAAGGAAGGAAAGAGTCTAGGGATGATGGGCTGGGCTGCTACAGTGTTGGAAAAAGGAACACATCTGACATCATTGTAGGAGCAACACGGACAGCGAGGTCATGTCAGTCAAGTTAGCTGTCATGGCACCCAGAGGGAGCACTAGGCCAAGGGAACCATGCAGAGTCTCCAGAGGACTGATGCCTTCTACCTGTCCTGCAGGTGTCCTGGCATCCATCTGCGGTGGTCTTGTCATGCTTCTACCTGAAACCAAGGGCATTGCCTTGCCAGAAACAGTGGATGATGTGGAAAAGCTTGGCAGGTATCTATAAAATTCAGTGTATCCTAAATAAAAGTGGTACAAATAACTCTGAGGGGAAAAGAATGGTGTTGGGAGATTAAATATTCCATGTGTGCAAGACCATGGACATGTCAGTGGGACTCCAAGATCCCTACCCTGGGGGACAGCAGTGAGCACGGGCATCTTCCCCCTCGCATGGGCTACCCCCGGTCCCCAGTGCTCTCTGGATCAGTATCCCACAGGCCAGGGGGTGGGGATGGGATGGAGGGAGGGGAAGGTGAGGAGAGGCAGATGGGATACCCAATTAAAAAAAAGTCTAGCAAAAATATGATTTATCACCCACAGATAAGTTGTAAATTACATTCAATATTTTCTTATTCTGGAAAAATAAGAAATCTACTTTGCCTCAAATTGCAAAATATGCTAATATTTTTCCCACTGAAAGGGCTTTTGGTTGTGCTGGCAGTTCATTCCAAAGCATCTGTTATCTGAAATTCTCAAAGAACATAGAGGCCGTTGAGTGGATTAAGCCCGGGTCTGAAGAGAGAAATGGCGAGCTTAGGGTGCTTGTGTTTGTGGCCTCTGAGAAGCCACGTCTGCTTGTGATTGGCCAAACTCTGCAGTGAGGTTGAGTGGTGACAAGAACTCGCCTGGGCTCTTGGTAGAATGGCCACACTCCCGTGAGTCCCACCGAGGCAGCTCAGCACTGAACCCTTGTCCAAGAGGGAAATTTAGAGACAGGCCTGGAGTCAGCCCTGGCAGCCAAAAACCTCCAGAACTCAATTGCCTTGGTGCTCATAGCTGCTTTCCACACGTTTGGACAAGCCTCCCCGGCAAGTGAACGCATTTGCGGTCACATGACATCTCATACTTTAGATCATTGATATACCAAGAGTAGCGCACCACACTTGATGGGGTTTAAAGTAGAAGGCAACTTGGGGCTGGAGCAATAGCACAGCAGGTAGGGCGTTTGCCTTGCATGTGGCCAACCTGGGTTCAATTCCCAGCATCCCATAAGGTCCCCCAAGCACTGCCAGGAGTGATTCCTGAGTGCAAAGCCAGGGGTAACCCCTGATCATTGCCCGGATGTGACCCAAAAAGCAAATAAATAAATAAAGTAGAAGGCAACCAATCTTAAGGAGAAATATATTCATAAAAGCACACAAGGCACAACCTTTAACAATGTGTTACTAATCTCTTATAGAAGGGCTTCATGGCTCCTGGGTGAAAGACAACAATCTTCACCCACTTTCTTCTAAAAAAACCCTTTTTTGGGTCTCATTGTTAGCAGATTATTCCTAATAAGCTAGACAAAATAAATTACTTCAGTTCTGCTCTGGGGGCAGGGTTTGGGATTCGGGGTGGAAACATTCAAAATGTGGTGGTGGGGAGGTGTCTGGTGGTGGAATTGGTGTTTGAATAGTAACTGTAGTCAAATATTGTGAACAACTTTATAAAAAATTAAATTTAATTTAATAATAAATAAAGACAGGGGCTGGAGAGATAGCACAGCGAGTAGGGCGTTTGCCTTGCACGTGGCTGACCCGGATTTGATTCCCAGCACCCCAGATGGTCCCCTGAGCACCGCCAGGAGTAACTCCTGAGTGCAGAGCCAGGAGTAATCCCTGTGCATCGTCAGGTGTGACCCCAAAAGCAATAAATAAATAAATAAATAAATAAAGACCCAGGGGAGGCCGAGATAAGGAAGGCAGAGGCAGTGGGGCAGAGGATGGCTTCTCCACCTCGCACACAAGCCTGGGAGTTCTTCCGGGGGGCCCCGAACCACCAGCCCCGCCACACTGGAAGGTGGAGCTTGCAGTTCTTACACTGCAAGGTGCTGAATACCTGGTGTGAAGCCTTGCCCCGCAGAGGGAAGAGTGCCTAATGGCACGACTTTCCATAAGAACTTCGCCATCGTGCCTTGCTGATCCCTGTGCCTGTCCGTCTTGCAGGAAAAAGAAAGTCCCAGTTTCCAGCACTCACTTTTGAGGCTCCTGCGGAAGGGGCCGGGAAGGAGCTGCCCCTGCCCCTCCAGGGCCAGCCGGACCTTGAGACCAGCATGCTGCTCCAGCCCCGCTGGGACATCCAAGCAAGCCAGAGTGTTGTTGAGAATGTTGGACACTTCCCCTGTGTGCACTACCCACGAGGGCACACAGTCACCGGCCGGCTCAGCCGAGCCCCTGGGTACACACAGCAACTGCTGGGGTGGGTGGTGGGTGGGTGGGAGTCTCGGCCCCAGCCAATCCCTGTGACAGCTCCGGGCAGGTGGGCAGAAACTCGGGCTGTGAGTGTCCAGAAGATTCCAGGAGGAGATTGGGGGTCCTGCTCAAAGAGAGACCCAGTGTAGGCCCTGTGCTTCCTCTCCCTGCACCCCTGAAGCATCTGGGGGGTGGGTGTACAGGCCTCAAGCCATAAAGAACAGGGTAGGAGAGAGGGGGGCTCTTGGTCCCCAACACAAGTGTGGGGTCACACTTAGTCTGAAGGTGGTTCTGAGTGGTGTGGTCCTCCTGGGGTAGACACCGAGCAGAGCGAGTGGACGCCACCTCTTAGGGTTTGATGTTAAAGCGATATTTACCCTCTGCTTGTGAGTGCCCGCTACACTCTGTCTACGGTCAGGAGGGGAAAGCACTTTTGTCTTTGGAAGAAGCTGACTTTTTAGCTTAAAAAAAGATCGGTGATCTCCAGAAAGGAAAATGGCGGAAGCTTTATAAGTGGCCTCATAAATACTAATCGAGATTGGGGGAGGGGCGGGTCTTTCTCTTGGAAGCGCAGAGCTGAAGTACCAATGTGCTACCTCTCTCTGAGGTTCTGCTTTATATTTTATATTTGTCCTATTTTTTCAGGCTCAGCATCTTTCTGATGCCAATTTTTTTTCATGACTTAGTGTGTGTGCACAGGCCAAATGGGCACCAAAAGGGTAAGCTCTGGCCACGAAGGCTTGGTATCCTGCGGACATCTGCAGTTGCCTGTGGTGTTGGTACTAACCAGCATCCCAGCGGGTGGTGAATGTTCGATTTTGTAATGGAATCAGCACAGCTCTCGAATTCACCCTTTCTACAGATACACTTGCATCTTTACTTCCTCTCCTCTCACCCTGGAATTGTATTCTGCGTGGATGTGTTTTTGGTCTTGGTACTAATAAAACCATGCAAACTGTCAAGGCAAAACAGCTCTCATCCTGTCTCTTGGTTTGGGACTTGGGTCACCATCAAGCACCGTGAGTGCTGACGTCAGAGCTTATCACAACCTAACCTCGGGCACCATTTCTAGGCCCGGCACTGCCTGCCACTCCAACTCGCCGCTGGTCTTGAATTACTCTCCGCTGCCAGGCTCACTGTGCAATGACAAGTCTGCCCAGTGTCCCTGAGCGGGGCTTAGGAGCAGATTTTAGTTCCCAGAATAGAATTTGTTCTCATCACCCCCACCCCCACCCCCCACTTTAAAAATACCTGTCGCAGAGTCCAAGCGACACATATTCCTGATGCAGAGCCAGATGTTTGCCACCAATGAACTCAGCATCGGGGCAGCCCCTAGGGGTACCCACTGTCTTTGTTAAGACCTCACGGCATCTGAGGTGAGTCGCCAGGTGGGACCATGTCATGGGGAAGATGAATGAAGAAATGAAGATAAGGCCCCCAGAAGTTAAATCAAAGTAGAGTTTATTTCCAACAAATGTCAGTGGTGTTGCTTTATAATTACAGAATCTAGCAGTTCAGGGTCAGGAAAATGGATCCATGATAATACTAAAAAGTGGGATTGGACAGTCCTGGCCCTAAGTACACGTGCTTGATTCGTCCGTTACTCCTGAGAGCGTCTAAATTCCCTCTCATATTCCACTTCCTAGGTAACTTGTTGCCCTGTTGTTCGCCTGTCAATGAATTATTTCTCAATATTCGTTCCTATTTTTTCTTTTCCCTTTTTGGTTTCGTGACCACACCAGGCCACGCTCAGGGGCTATTCCCGGCTCAGTGCTCAGGGGGAAACTTGCAGTCCCAAGGACCAAACCAGGCCTCCCACACGCCAAGCATGCTCTCAGCTCATCGAGTTCATCACTGTTTCCATCCAAGAAACAAACCTCGAGACACGAACATAGACACCGGGCTTATTAGGGCGCGCACAGCCAAGACCCCAAGAGGTGACGCCTTGTAAAATGTATTTGTCCTTCTCGAAGCAGACCAGAGGGCCTCCGCTGTCACCCTAGAGAGAGCGGGGAAGGGATGGCATGAGGACGGCACCCTGCCCACCCTGCTGCCTGACCCCTGTGTCCCTTCCCCAGCTCGGCCAGCTCCTCTCTGCTCACAGCGGCTGCTTGCTGCTCTCCGAACATAAACTGCGATTCAGCACTTGGCAGAGGATAGTCCACAAAGCCACACGATGTCATGTTTCCTAGGAGGGGGACCCCTGCAAATATTGATCCCACCCCTTCCTGTTTGGGGTTCCTTTTGGGGTAATCCCAACCCCTTGATGAACCTGGGTGGCTGGTCTTTATCCCGTTTCCTTTCCCGGTGGTGCCACTCACCAGCACATCCCAGCCCTGGCAGGGAGGGACCTCGCTGCCCTTCTCTAAATGAGCGACAAAGTCCCACTCAGTGGGTTCGTGGAAGGGGCACAGACCTTGGGGTCTGCAGCAACTGTTGGACTGTGTCTTAGGCCTGGCTTTTGCTCCTCAAGTTTATCCCCGGGGACCGAGGATGTCCAGGGTCAGTGCAGATGAGCTCAGTCTCACTGTCTCGTCTTACCTGGCAGCTGTCGATGCCTCCAGCCAAGTTGCCTGCACACAGCTCCGTAGATTTGACCCTCCCGTTGAGAATCCCGTAACGGTTACACACTTTGTTCTCGATCACGGGCAGTTGAGCCTCCTTCAGGAACCCCGCCCCGTAGGTGCCTGTGGGGAGAGTCAGACACAACAGTGACCAGACCTGTTCATGGGAGAGTTCCAGAAGCAGTGAGAAGCACTGAGAGTTCCCGTGTGCCCCCAGGCCCAATGAAGCAGGATCCATCCTACAAGAGTCTCGCTTCTCCTTGATCCTTGAACACTCAAACAGTACGGGAAATGCCATGTCCCCAGTCCTGCATTTGGTTACCCGAGGTCCTTGTGGTATTGGGGTGTGCGGGGGAACTTTATCTTCTTGACTGTGTGTGTTTTGGTTTTATTGGAGGTGGCCCAGGCCTGATGCCAGCATATACCTTTCCATCCCAGTCATTTCCCTTTTGTTGTCTGGGTTTTTTTTTTTTTTTGCTTTGTTTTGAATTTACTTATTTTTTTAAAACTACAAAGAAAAAGAAGTGCTTAATATGAAAAGAGTCCAATAAATCCAACTATTGTTATTTTGACAGTTTCTATCCATCTATTTATATGCTTCTTTTAATACACTGCACAAGTTAACATCTTGGAGTCTTTTCCATACACACGATATCATAAGGACTTTTGATAAACGTACCATCTTTATCACTAATATTTGGGGGCAGTATGGGGCCATACCCAGGAGTGCTCAAGGTTATCTCTGGCTTTGGAGTGACGCTTGACGGTGCTCAGGGGATCCTATGTCTGTTGGGACTCAAACCAGAGTTGGCGTCACTTACCCCTCACCTGGTAATTAACATTTTGTTGCATCACTGCAGTGCTAGGGGAGGGAGAGGCACACCCAGCAACACTTAGGGACCAAGGGATCTAGCCAGGGTCTCATCATGAAAGGCAAGTGCTCTGTGCTCACAGCCACATCCTGGGTCCTGTCGTGAGTGTTCTGGCACTTGGTAGGGAGGGGTTGCCGACCGGCGCGAGTGAGCGAAGTGTTCTGAGTAGAGCCATCCTAGGGTGCCAGCCCTGGAACTCAACTCGTTCAAGCCATCACAAAAGCCAAGTTCATGTTCTATGAATTTCACCACAGTGTCGGAAGGAGGGAGAATCAGAACAGATCTGGGGATGGGAGCAGCCACTCCCCCACACTGGCGTCAAATTGAGCTGCTGTCCTTTAACTGCACAAAAGGCTAAACTCTTCCCTGGTCACACCCCATGCTACAAGATGCTACAAGACAGATGTGCCAGCCCTTCCCACGTGTGTCTCACCCCAAGGGCAGGAGAGTGCCCGGACCTGGGCTGTGCTCCAGGCTCTTGTCTTCTTTGTGAAGACCTCCTTGACTCATGGGAGCTTGTATGAAAGAGACATTGGCCACCTGGCCAGAGAAAGTCCTCATTTGCCAGGCGGGCACCCAGGCCCAGTTCACTGCTGCCATGAGCCTGTGGGTCTCCAGCCCTGCCAGTTCCTAACCCTCACTCGCTCCCTTGGGGGATGGCAGGGGGCTCTCTGGGGAGGCACATGCTGGGCAGAGGCAGAGCAAGCCCTGAGGGGTCTGGAGGGGCTTTGCTTGAACCGAGTGGTGGGGAGGAGCAGTTTTCTTGAATTGTGTTGCTAAAAATCCACCTTCCGGTGTTGGGAGGATCCTCCCAGGATGGGAGATGCATGCTGAGAGTAGACTATAGACCTAACATGATTGCCACTCAATGCCTCTTTTGCGAACCACAGCACCCAAAAGAAGAGAGAGAACAAAAGGGAATGCCCTGCCACAGAGGCAGGGTGGGAGAGATACTGGATCAGTGCTGGTGGAAAATGGGCACTGGTGGAGGGATGGGTATTCGATCATTGCATAACTGAAACCCAAGCACAAAAATTTGTAAGTCTACAACTGTACCTCAAGGTGTTTCACTAATAAAAATTAAACAAACAAACACTGTCCTCCCAATGTTCATCGATTTACTCAAGTGGGCCAAGTAGCGTCTCCATTTTGAGACTTGTTGTTACTGTGTTTGGCATATTGAATATACTCTTGGTAGCTTGCCGGGCTCTCGGAGTGGGGTGGAGGAATCGAACTCGGCTCGGCTGGGCTGGCTGCACGCAAGGCAAACGTCCTACCGCTGTGCTATCACTCCGGCCAGTAATAAAATTAAAATAAAAAATTTTTTAAAAATCCACCTTCCCTGCAGTGTCCTACTCTAACACCAAATACATGGCTAGTGGCCAGCATACCATATGCCAGTGAGGACGTGCTGCCTTCTGCTGGTCACTGTGGGGATGGCACTTCTAGAGTTCAGGTGCCCGGATGAGGCCCATGCTCTCTGGACACTCACTTGGACTCCCATGCCCTGTGCCCATTGCCCAACTGGGGGACAGGGTGAGTGAGGGAGAGACTTTCCTGAAGACCTGCAGCCAGTGAGAGGACAGGGCCCCAAGTCAAGCAAGCACAGCGGGACCCAGGGCTCCTCATTGGTCAAATGCGAGCAAGATGACCAAGCACTGGGGGACGTGTGGTGTTTCCACCTTTTAAAGTGCTCTAGCACAGGGGCCCGCATTCCTCACTGTGGCCCTTCCCTTGGGGACATGGACTCCAGAGGAAGTGGAGGAGGAAGTGGTGGCCTACTGCTCAACCGAAGTGGGGAAGGCAGAGAAAGAAGCCAGTGGGGAAGCATCTAGACATAGCTATGCTTCTTACCCTTCCATGAGGGAAGCTTATGAGAAGACTAAAGTGATCTGCAAACAGCAGCAGGCACAGACATGTGGCGTGCCCTGTCCTGGGGACCAAGGGCAGAGTCAGAAGGATTTGGGGACTCTGGGCTCCTCAAATTTGTAAGTCTATAACTGTACCTCAAGGCGTTTCACTAATAAAAATTAAACAAACAAACAAACAAACACTGTCCTCCCGTTGTTCATCGATTTGCTCAAGCGGGCCCAGTAACATCTCCATCCCGTTGTTCATCAATTTGCTCGAGCGGGCCCAGTAACGTCTCCATTTTGAGACTTGTTGTTACTGTGTTTGGCATATTGAATATGTCATGGGTAGCTTGCCAGGCTTTGCTTTGAGGGCGAGATACTCTTGGTAGCTTGCCGGGCTCTCCAAAGGGGTGGAGGAATCGAACCCCTCCCTGTCAACCACACTTAGCTTCATTTAAGAAGGGGGAGTCTCTTCCTGCCCCCCTACACACACACACACACACACACACACACACACACACACATACCTCACCTCATAATTTTGGTGGCCCTTGTTTTGCCCTTTTTGGGGGGATCTCAGCATAGCTAACTTGCCATGAAAAATAATCTGACTCCTGACTTGTGAACTCGTGTCAAAGCCCTCAGAGGCCACTCCAGGCATGCAGTGCTGGGACTGAACTAAGAGTCTCACCTGTCCAAGCAGTGCTCTGTCTCTCAGCTATCTCCTTGGCCCTCCAGAGTTAAGGATGACCTTGGATTAATTAATGGGCTAAGAGACGCCAAGAAATACTCTCCTGGGGCTGGAGAGATAGCACAGCAGGTAGGGCATTTGCCTTGCACGCGGCCAACCTGAGTTTAATTCCCAGCATCCCATATGGTCCCCTGAGCACCTCCAGGAGTAACTCCTGAGTGCAGAGGCAGGAGTAACCCCTGTGCATCGGCAGGTGTGACCCAAAAAGAAAAAAAAAGGAAATACTCTCCTGCCCTCGTCCATGTCCCTTGGGGACTCTTTCTGGAGGCAGGACGGGGGCCCAGACCCAGTCAGATGGGGCTGGTCCTCATTCACCCACAGGAGCACGCACGGCCTCCTCCGAATGCTGTGGTTCCCTTCCGTCAGAGCCGATTCACCATGCGAGTCTCAGCACTGATCTCACCTTGGGTTTCTCCCCAGCCGGTGATGTAGCACAGCGTCCGGTCGGCAACCACATAATTTGGGGACGGCAGACAAGCTGGGATCACCTTGTCATTGATAACGGCGGGGCTAGAAAGGAAACACCAGGTTTTACACTCTGCTCCTCCTCACCCTGGGGGCCCCTGAGGTGTTGCCCCCCGGAGCCCCAGCACCCCACTGAGCTGGGACTCCCCAGCTTGCAGGACCAACCTGATGGAGGAGGCAGCATTTTCTCCTGCCACTGGCCCAGAGCGTCCTAGAGTGTGAATAAGTAGAGCATCTCACTACACACCCATGGGCCGTGGATGAGAAGCCAGGGGTGGGAGAATCACTGCTTACAGCTGCCCCATCCTCGGGATAAAGGGGATGGGGTTGTGTCCACTGAAGGGGCTTTGACCCCCAGGTGGACCATCAAGCTGAAGTTCCATCATGAGACCTTAGTGAGAGTGAATGTCTACTTCAGCTCCATCCTGGGGGCTCTGTGTCCTCCTGTAAATGTGGCACCCCACTATGGTGAGAACTCAGTCATGGCGCTCCCCGAGAGATGAGTGGGAAGCAGCCCCAGGTCTAGGCCAATTGTCACTCCCCTTCCAGGCACTGTTCCCTACTCAGAGCCCCAGGAAGCTCACCCCCACACTGAGGCTGGGGGCCACTCTGGGATGTCCAAGAGGAAACAGGCTGGAGATGAGGACTTCTCTCTTCCGGGAAGAAAGCAGTCTTGCTGCTAGCCCAGATGCCGGCTCACCTTCTCCGCCAGCCCAGCCTCACCCTGACCTTCCTCCATGGAGTCCCTCATGCACGTGAATGCCCCTGACTCCTGCAGTGTGGGGGCATGTCTGAGTGCTTTCAAGTTCGATGTATTAATTACCAGAGAAAACTTCCAGAACCCAAATTGACTAAATATCATGGTCTTGCTTCTGGAGCCCCCAGAGGAACTCAGGGGACCATGGGCAAAAGAGAGGAACAGCACCCCTTATTAGCTGAACCTCAGAAGGGGCTTGCCTTCCTTGAGTGTCCAAACATGTCAGGAAGTGAGCCTCCAGTTATGACTCAGAAAGGATGACAGGAACTGGCTCAGGAATGTTTAGCTGTCTCCATTGGAGTCTGATTGCAAATATTGCTCCTTTAAGTGCCAGTAGTGAGTTTATCATTTTGTCAGGACTCATAAAGCATTGCTTTCGCATGGAAAATAAAGCCCAAGAAGATAAGAAGGCTGTGCTTTGGGAACAGTGTGTATGGACTTTTCAAGTGCTTGGAAAGATCATTTGATCATTTCCAAACTTGGTTGAGAAGAGAATGATCGACCTGGAACCACTGAGCAATTCTCTGGTTATGACTTGACATTAGCTGAATGGTGGGAATGCAGTTTTAAGAACAACCATGTACCTTGTGTCTTATTCTTTTTCCACCGAAGGAAATAATAAGGTAGATTCTCCACAACTGTGATGGGTTTGTGGCCATATGGGGCGGAATTCAGGATTTCTCATTTGAGTTCACTGTTGATCCCCAAATCCTGAATGCATTTCATATCCAAGATGATGCCCCTTAATTACACACACACACAAACACACACAGACAAACATGCACACATATACATACACACACCACCACCACACCTTTAAACCCCATAAACATGAAATCTGGATAGAAACAAATCTTTTCTTTCATCTTAGAGCTAAAGTCAGAGATGAGGCAGTACCTGCTTAGCTTCAGCAAGGCAATATCTGCTCGTGAGGGCTCCGGGAACAGCCTAGCCACTTCTATTTTCTGAACATCGGCACCAGTAAGACTTTCTCGGTGGGCACCCAGGACGACCATGTACGATGAAGGCCTTGTAGATCTAGGAGAGATGGTGACCTTAGGAAACCAGGTCATCAGCAGCTCCTCTGACCATAAACACTGTACCTACTCACATCTTGGCTAGCAACCATCGGTGACTGCCAAGTAAAGCAAGGCACGAAGCTCATGGTTTACCCAGTGATCCTAAGGAATGTTCCCAAAGGAACCCCAAGGTTCCTGTTGATCTAACACCGAAGATGATGTGAAGATGGACACCCAGCTTGAGAGGGTCTCAGGAAACTGGTGTCTGCTTAGAGAATGGCTACAAACTCACCTGATCTGGGTCTTTCACCTTCAAATCTTTTCTAGAAACATTCCTCTCCTCTCTCATCCTCTCATCCTTGGGCTTTTTCAAACCCACCCCTGATCCTTAGTCCCACAAACATAGGAGAAAAGGAAAGCTGACTGGGGAGGGAGGGAGAGAAGGCAGGGAGGTAAGAGAGGGAGGAAGGAGGTGTTTAAGACAAGATTTCCTGTCAAGGGTCCCCTGTACATACCTCTCCAAACAGTGAGCTGCAGTCACCACCCACTCGGGGGCTATTAAAGTTCCTCCACAGAAGTGCCTTCCGAATCTAGAAGGAAAATGCATGTATTTCCACTCAGACTATTGTACAGTCAGGAGCGTTCACTCCATCTTGAAGCACATGCTCCCAGAGGGAAAAGCAAGCATTCCATCCACCAGCTGGATAGAGGAACTGTGCTTCACCAGTGGGATTTTCCAGAAAGTTCTATCCACAGCATTCTTTTACTATCGCTGGAAGAGGCTCAAACATGCCCTGTCCATGGAAGAGTAAAGTAGTACCAAAATAAAACTCTGTGTTTATATCTTTAACCTGCTAGTCCTCACCAGAAGTGAGCAGCCCTGACCCACTTCTCAAGATCCTCCATATTTTTTGAGAACTATGTAACCCAGAAAAACCCAGTGAGTGATTGCTCAGGAAGTCAACCTGGAACCTGGAGGTACACCTGGGAACCTGCTGGTTTTGCAGGAGAAAATCAGCCTTGGCAAAGGGCCATTCAGTGGTTCACTCTTGCAGGACTCTTTAAGCATGTGATAGCACTTAGGAACATGATGGAGTTGGTGAAACTCTTTAATGTACCCAGTGTGAAGCAAAGGGAAAGGAAGTCATGTCTGCAGAAGACTACATCAAGAACACCTCACTTCTCCCAAAGTGTCACGTTCTAAAAGCATCCTTTCTCCTCACTGGACAAAGGACAACCATGTCGCCCTGGCAGCTGCATTTCTTCCTCAATACTGGTACTTGGTATAAATTCCTATGTCATGAAACTTGATGATAGCAGCCTGAGTCAAGGAAAGATTCCAATTTCGTATATTTTCAAAGGTGAGACCCTAGAATGTTTTGTATTGTTTTGGTGTCACACCTGGCAGTGCTCAGGGCTTTGTTCTAGCTCTGTGTTCAAGGATCACTCCTGAATGTGTTCTGGGGATCCTCTGTGGTGTCTTGCATGAGACCAGTGTCAGCTACATACAAGGCAAATGCCTAAGCCCCTTATTAATTCTCCAATCTCCTAGAATGTACTTTCTAATCTTCCTTCCTCCTTAGGACAATACAGAATCAGGTCCTGTCCTCTAAGCCATGTGGGTTGAGCATAGTCATAGTCATTGACAGATCCAGCAGGGCTTATGTTGAGGAATAAAGTGGTATAAATGCATGTTTCTTAAAATGATATTACCTGGTTCTGAGGCTGACCTGCCAGGGCCAGGAATGTGGGTTGGCCACACAGCCACCCACAACCCTCCCCGGACATTTCTTCGGCTCCACCTGGGGTTTTCCGCAATCAAGTGAAGAGGATGAAGCTATGTGCAAAATGGGGGAGAGTGAGTCATTCTGGCATACAATAAATTAGTGTTCTGGGGGTGGGGCTAGCTAAGGATGGCTTGGAGGAAAGCCTTGAAATTATGAGACCACAAGTTTCACACACAAACACATGCATACGCTCATGCACATACACACACACACACACACACACACACACACACACACACTCTGCATAGACTCCTAAACACCAAGCCCAAGCTCAGGACCAAAACCAAAACAACAATCATGTTAAAAAAAACCAAACTATTAAAAATACTCAATCTCAAGACCCAAACACTGGATTTTTGACATCATCAAACCCAAACTAAAAATGAAAATCATCAACATCTTTTGGAATACTTTTTCGCAGTTTCAAAAGTGGTAACAGACACTATGAAATAGCCCTCTACTTCCAAAGTAATAGAAGTAACTTGAAATTACTTAGTTGAAGACATAAAGAAATAAATAGGTAGAGTTAGACATTGGAGAGAAGGTTTGAGAGAAATTAAACACAATTATTCCAGGTCATTGCCTGGAGCACTACGTCATCCTCCCCTCCTCATCATCCTCATCCTCATCATCAAGCAGCAGACACTACCCTCTGCACCACTTAAAGGTATGAAAAAAATTATAGTTGTCATAGACACTGGACAGCATTAACAGCAGGTTTTTCGTGTGACTCTAGTTGAATGTGTAAATATTCGAAACTGAAGCAATGTCATCCTCAAGCAGTGCTGGAAAAATTCTCGGAGCTCCGGACATTTCTGGACTAACCCTGTGCTCTGGAAACAGCTCTCATCTTAATGTGACTTCACTGCCTTCCTCCTACCTTCTCTCGTCCAATGAGATGTCCCTGGAGAGAAGGCCAGTGTTTCCCCTCGGGATCACCCACCAATGCCCAGAACATTCAGGGGCTACAGAGGGTGTTCACAGGAAGCTTCTCCTTTCGCTGTAGTGCTTTACATCTTCATAAATGTATGAGTAAGTCAACATTGGTAGTAATATTGTGAGGGGAATTTCCTCTAGAGACTATCCTCTCTCAACTCTCTGGGGCTTGAATTTTTCTAGTAAATTTCCATTTATCGTGACCCTAATTCTGAGAATCAATATATAGGAGTCATTTTCCCACCTAAAAAAACAAGTCATGTAATAAAATCCTACTTTTTTACACCAAGTTGAATTTGTACTTCTGAGCCTTACTCACAGAAGATTTGCATCAATATTCTAACAAAAAGGTGCAAAGACTATGGTACTCTGGCATTACCATTCAGAAGAAAATACAAAGGTGTTTTTTAAAAATTTCACTTATGTATTATTTTTACTGAGTATATTGGTAGTACTGAAATGAGGAATCAAAGAAATCAAGAAGTAAATATGCAATCTAATATAAATTAATATAAAAATCATGTTTAAGGATAGGTAGGCATCCTTTCGTTAAAAGAATTATTTTCACTTTATTATTTTGGTTTCTCACAATGGTGCTGAGGGCTTGCTCCTGGCTCTGTGCTCTGGGTTCATTCCTGGAGTGCTTGGGGACCATATGGGGTGCCAGGGATTGAACTAGGTTGGCTGTGTGCAAGACAAATGCCCTAGCGGCTGTACTATCACTCTGGGCCCCTTCTATTTTTGGAATATTTTAATATTTGAGTAACCATGCCATGATCTGCTTGCAAAGTCAGATCAGCAGAAAGTAAGAAAGCACTCAGATCACATTGACTGACATTATGTCCCAGACCTGCCAAGGACTTCTTATACCAAAAGTTGCAGAGCAATTGCCAACTCTCTTTTATCTCAGGCAAACACTTGCTCCCTAGAAAAATCTCAGAGAAACGAGGAAGGCGACCAACTGAACTCTCTTAAGGTAGGTGGCTAATGGGTAGTTAGCCACTAGAGAAAGAGAAAGGCATTGGGAAGGTCAAGGTGTGGCCTCCTCCTGGGTTCTAAGAAGGCCACTGGTTGGTTCACAGTGATGACTGGGTGTGTCTGCTTCCTGCAGTTCTCGTCTCCTTTTTTTGCTTCCCAGCTCTGAAAGGAAAGTCTACTATCTGGGCAACTCAGCTTCTTGGGCATCAAGGCAGAGTGGTGATCTCAGCACCCCTCTAAAGTGCTTAGTTCACCCCCAAACTTCCACCTTTTGGAGTTCATGGGGATTTTGTGTTTGCTTTCTGCAAGGAGTGGGGGCACAGGGACAGTACCTCTCCAAAGGGGCCACCAGCAGGATAGATTCAGGAGCCCATGGTGAAGCAAGGCTCAGCAGGCTCTGCCCCAGAGAGCATCCACCTCCACGGCCGCCTGCAACAGGGTTCTAGTGGGAGGGGGCCAGGTGAGAAGCCCCTCCCTAGCACTCACCGCACTGGGGAATGTCGCAGTAGTCAAAAAGCTTCTGTGGGTCCATCGTATAGCACCAGGGCCCATAGACATCCCCATCTGGATTCCGGCAGTACTGGAAAAGGAGTAGGCTTGTGAAAAGAGAAGAAAGAGGGTCCTCCTCCTTACTGGGAGCAACATGGTGGGGTTGCTCCAACCCATCACAGCCCCTTGTCAGGTCTCCTTGCCCTAACTAGGAGATTACTCCCTGGAGGAAAGTGGAAAGTCATGGGGTGTTGGGTAGAGATTATACTGAGGTGGATGCCCTCTGTTAGTTTGTGTCCGGGAGCGCTTAGAGACTCTAAAATAGAGGGAGGAGGAGGTGACAACTTCTTGTGCCTGACTCAACTCAGCTAGCCTAAAGGCCATGATGCCAATTAGCAAGACCGTTGATTAAAAGTGCCTCTTCCCAAGGACCACGAGCTCTCCAGGAGTACAGTCACAAAGGACAGGCCAATTTCCTCCTTCTGCTTCCTGACATGTCCTTACCCAGTGAGGGTGTGAGATCCTTGAGCCCCACTGTGGAGAATATGAATGAACTGTGGACTTTTTCTTCCAGAAAAATCCTACCAAGATGTCATGATCCCCTAAATCTAGGAGGACAAACACAAGAAACTAGAAATACCATCTCTAAAAGATTAAGGCACAAAATGTCACCAAGGGAAGTCCAAAGGGCTGAGAAGAATGATTTGGTTCTGATGCCAACTGTGTGTGGGGGGTGGGGGGTGGGGGTGGGAAGGGTGCTCATCCTATAATAGCTCAGTCTTCTCTTCCCCACCACACACCTGGCACCAGTCCAGGCTGAACTTCTGGAATGTAGGGTAAGGATAGGACAGTAAAAGGCATAACGAGTCCCAAGGAAGGTGGCTTACGTTTTCTTCCAAATCTGCTCGTGGGTTTGTTTTTGGTGTGAAAGTGCGGTGAAAGTGAGGCTCCTGGGCATCCCAGGCCTGGCAGGGGGTGCCTTTCCCAGTGGTGGCCTTCTTGCCCCGATAACTTTTCCCATTTCCAATGATGCAGTCTGTTGGGAACAAGACAGGAAGTGAGGTTCCAGGACACAGCAGGGCAAGAGTAATCAATACAGCAGGATTGGGGGGCTCTCACCTATCCCAGTACTGATCATCACTGGGAGTAAACATTACCTGACTTAGCAAGCCCCTGACAAGACAGAGGTGCTCAGAAATAACCACACATTTAGCAAGATAGTAAAATGAGGATGGTGTCCAGAACATAAGACAAGATGAGTGGCAACAACATCTGGATTAAGCTGCATAAAGCAGACGCTACAACAAAATTTTTGAGCCCCCTCGAGCCCCCTACTGTCATTGAGGGCATGAAAAGATGTGAAGAAGGAAAAGGACATTGTAGACCATACTCCTCTTGACTGAGGCCGTGCTGTGTGCCCTGCCTCCGAGGTGGAAATAAAGAGATAACTTGGGAACTCTCAGCTCTACCCTTGGGAAAGGGGGTTTGCCTGGGCCCTTGTCAGAGCATCTTATATTTGTCAGGTATGGGGGACTCTGAGTCCACTTGGATCACCTAGATTCTTTGCCATGGAAACAAGCGTGCTGAGCATCCTGTGCACCCAAGCCTGTTTGGACCCCAGGTTGACCCTAGTGGAGCCATGATCCAGGGTTAGTTCTAACCCTGAGGGACCCATAGGTGAACATCTCAAGTCTTCTTTAAGAGTGATAGCCAACTGGGGCACACACCCCGTTGCCTGGCCAAAAAGAGATAGGAGAGACAAGCTCTCGACTGCCCAGGGGGTCATAGCTCACCTCTCCCTCAATGGGGTGGGCAAAGCCCCCTTCCTGTGAGAGGAACTGTGACAGCAAACTGTGTTTGCGTTTCTACTCATGACAGTGAAGGTTGGCATGACCAGACAGCTGATCGGGTTCTCGTGCTGGGTTTTGGGGAGAATCCTGCCCTCTGAGCGGCTCATCCCGCCATGGGGCAGAGCACATGACTTGCTGCCTTCAGGCACAGCAGTGGGTGCTAAGCACACAACCACACCCCCCAGTCCAGACCACCAACCCTCCAGAACCACAGCACTGCATTGTCAGTTTGCCACGTCTTAGAGCATGACTCTCCAACTACCACCACTATTCCAGTTATTCCAAATGAATCGTTTCTGTTCCTCCATGGAGGAGGTATGGACTGTTTTTCTAGAAAGATCCATTGAGGTCAATGCCACCCTATCAACCTCTCCATCTACTCACGCTCAAAGTTTTTTGTTGTTATTATTTCGGGGCCACACAAGGTACTGCTCAGGGGTTACTCCTGACTCTGCACTCGGGAATCATTCTTGGTGGTGCTCTAGGGACTGGACGGGATGCTGGGAGTCGAACCTGAACTTGGGTTGGCCATGTGCAATGTAAGTGTCCTACCCACTGTACTGTCTCCACATGCTCTAGTTTTATTCATCCAGCCTACCCATGCGTTTTCAAGTGAATTAAAAACACCCACTCCCATTACCTCAGCAGCAGCTCTGACTTCCCCAGTCCAACACATACTCCCATTCCCTGTAGAAAGTAGCTTCTACCTTCCCAACCTCTTCATCCCTTGTCAGCCTGATGCCCAAGGAGAGAGACATAGGCCACAGACTCCATACCATCTTCAGAAGTTTCTTGAACACTTGGCACTTGGGAAACACGTGGAATGTGTGCAGAACCTGCTTCCGTTCCTGAGCACTTCTTCAAATTGCAGAACTCCCACCGAACTCTCGGGTCAGTGGTGTAACACCATGGGCGTATGTCTCCATCTGGATTTCTGCAGTAGTTCATGATCAAGTTCCTACAGAGTTCACAATGACAAAGGTCACAAGAGGAGAAAGGTTTTTGCAGAGGCACCCCAAGACCCTCTGCAACTTTGAAATATTACCATTGAAGTTATGGAAGATGCTTATTCTTATTACTTTTTTTTTTTTGCTCTTTTTGGGTCACACCAGCAATGCACAGGGGTTACTCCTGGCTCTGCACTCAGGAATTACTCCTGGAAGTGCTTGGGGGACCATATGGGATGCTGGGATTCAAACCCAGGTCGGTCGTGTGCAAGGCAAGCGCCCTACATGCTGTACTATCACTCCTGCCCCTCATTACTTTTATTATTGCCATGAACACACATGGTTCTCAACTTCAAAACCACTGGGTAAAGGTTAAAAATAGACTGTAAATTCTATTTAAAATAAAACAAGAGTCAATATTCTAGTTAAAAATTCCAAAAATATAGACAATATAATAAACTGTATTTAAATGTTCTCTCCACAATCTGTTAAATAGACTCCCCAGCAAGAACCAAGAAGAATTTTGAAGCAAATACTTCATAGTTTTTCTGTGCCTCTACAAATAACTCTAGATCTTTGTCTAAATAACATGAAGGTTATAAAAATTGAAGCACAAAGATATTAGGTATGATGTGAACCCAGCATTGTACCTGCAGGAACTATAGGTCAATATTCTGAAACTCTTAATGGCTGTGGACAGACAGCCAGTCAAAGCCAGAGGTTGAAGAAAGCCGCTAGAGATAACGGTTCTGGGATTAAGCTGAGATCCATGCTTTGAGAAAGTGTTTCAGTAAGTCTCTCTACAACTGCATGTGTTACAAAGAGCCTTCATTGGAGGGGCTGAGAATACATACTCATAATTCACAACTTTTGGCATGTGTGAGGCCCGGCCATCCATGGCTGGAATCCCCTCCTTTAAATCAAAGTAGCCTACAGAACTCTGGGAACTTTGATAAAATTGGGACTTTGACCACTGGGAGACCACCTTTGATCAGTCTGTGATTTGACTTGTTTCCTTAACACACTTTGGTAAGCAGTTTTCCTATTATTAAGTTCCACATTATCCACTTTTGGGAGGAGAAGGCTTTCTAAAAATATGTTCCTTTCCCAACACTGTGAACATATTTTTTGTCTGATTTTTCCTACTAACTTTATATCTTGTCTTTTTGTTGTCTTTTGTTGTTGTTGTTGTTTGTTTTTTGTTTTTGTTTGGGGGCAGGGGCACACCTGGCTTACTCCTTGCTGTGGGTTCAGGGATTACTTCTGGTGGGCTCAGGGGACCATATGTGGTACTAGGGATTGAACCTGTGTTGGATGTTTGCAAATCAAGCACCCTACTCATTGTACTACCTTTCCAGCCTCTTTATCTTAGCTTTCTTAGCTTAATATTTAGCTTTTATACTTAGGTCTAAGAGCTTTCTCAAATGAAATTAAGAATGGAATTATAAATCAAGTATTATCCTTGGGGAGCATGTATTTTTTTCTATATTGTAATCAGATATTCCAAAGTCATTTTGGAATAAATCTTTCCCAATTTAATTTCTTTGCCACCACCTTCATTGACCATTTATATTTCTAGAATATTCCCTTTCCTATTTCTGTATACTTTAGACACCACACTATTGTTTAGATTGTAATATTTTTATGAGAAGTTTTTAAATCAAACGATGTAAGTCCTCTGATGGTTTTCTTCTTCATAAAAATTATTTTGGTGATTTAATTCTCAGAATTGATAAATAGCTTTAATTTATAAACAGTAATTATTTAGATCATTTTCTTTCCTTCTCAATCAAATTTTGTAGCAATCATTCTGCAGTTTCTTGTACAACTTTGTTACATTCATTACTAAATATTTTGGATTTTATAATATTGGCCATATATTGTTAAATGCTCCTATCCCTGCTTGTTCGTAACTGCTGTATAGTAAAGCAATTGATTTTTTAAAATATCAACCTGGTATCTATTTTTATCTTTGACCTTGCAAATTTTACTTATTAGTCCATTGGATTCTTTGTATTCATTAATCTAGTTTTCTGAGAATATAAATGATTCACTTCTCCCAGTTTATACCTGAGGTTCTTTATTTCTTTCTCTTGTTTTAATGCAATGGCTTAGACTGCTAGGGTAGTCCTGACAAAACATGCTGTAAGAAGATATATTTTTCTCATTCCCAATCTTACAAAAAAATATTCATTCTTCACCATTAGTCTGATACAGGCTAGAAACTTCTTTAAAAAATATTAAGTCACAGCACCCCCAGCCGCGCCTCAGATTCCCGCCTGAAGCCCAGTGGGGAAAGTGCCCGTCCAGCTCTGCGGGACCGCCCACCAGTCCGTTGGCCCCTCCCCTCCAGGATCCTGGGTGGGAGTCGCCTGGGACAGGCTAGGGGCGTGGCCACCAGGAAAGGGGCGTGGCCTTCTAAAAGTGGGCGTGGCCTTCTCCTTGGCCGGCAGCCGCTAACACGGCCGGAGTTATATCACTCACATCAAGCACTCAGGACTCTCATCCCACAACTTGCCGCCTAATACCAACCAAAAATTTCCCACCTCTTCTACTACAATCCAACAACAGCCCACTCACGTACTCAATTTCCAACAAAGACCTGTTTGAAAATAGCTGTATAAGCTCAGTACCAAATAGGACCTCCTCCAAAAATTTCACTCAATGTCGGTTATAAAACAAAGAATAACGCCTGACTGAGAAGAAGTTCAAACTCTGAAATGTAGAAGGGTGCCTACCATCAACAAAACCTTATCCAAAATCCTTTCCCACTATAAGAGGGAATAGTATAATCTATGCTGGGCGGGAACCGAGGCCCATTGTTCGGCAACAAAACTGAACAGCTCCTGGCAGTCTCTCCTCATTCAACCAGGTACAGCCGGCCCCCACGGCTTGGGACTCCCCCAGGGAATGCGCAGCTAGCTTGATCCCCTAGAATTGCCGTTTTTCTCCCTTGACCTGCGCGGGACGGGAACTGAGGCAACATCACATCCCGCGGCAACAAAGCTGAACGGATCCGGGAACTCTCTCCTCACTCAACCAGAATAGTAACAGTGAACGTGAAGGACTAAACCACACTGGTCACAATGGTAAAGCAACGCAAAAGCCCACCAAACTTTCTTATTGAAGAGGCTAGCCCAGAAGACACCAAGAGTATTGTAGTGTTAGACAACCTCTCTGACAAGGAATTCAGAAGGGAGCTACTTAGTATGCTTAGGGAACTAAAAGAAACAATGGAAAGCAATGCCAATAAAAGACAAGAGGATTTGAAGGCAGAAATGAGAAAAATGCAATCGGAAATGTCGGACCTGAAAACCCTGGTAGGCGAATTGAAAACCTCAGTGGAAGGCCTCAGAAGCAGAGTAACAGCTGCTGAGAACAGAATCAGTGAGCTCGAAGATGAAGTTCAGAGACTCGCCAGAAAAGAGCAGAAAATGGAAAAGAGACTCACAGTTCTGGAACAGATGGCAAGAGAAGATCGTGATGAAGCCAAGAGGGGTAACATAAGAATTATTGGAGTCCCAGAGGGACAGGAAGAAAACCCTGATGAAGAAGAAACTGTCAAAGACATCATTGCTACAACATTTCCAGAGCTGAAGAAAACTTGTGACCACATTCAGGGGGCCTGAAGGGTATTAGCTAGAAGAAATCCGAACAAAAATACCCCAAGACACATCCTGATCAAAATGACCAAAACTTTAGACAGAAACAAAATTCTGAAAGCAGCAAGATCGAAGAAAGAAATCTCTTACAAAGGAGCATCCTTAAAATTCACAGCTGATTTTTCTGATGAAACCCTCAGGGCCCGAAAACAGTGGTGGGACATAGTGAAAAAACTCAATGAAATAAATGCCTCTCCAAAAGTACTTTACCCAGCGAGACTCTCATTCATAATAGAAGGAACAACACACAGTTTCACAGACAAACAACAGCTCAGGAACTTCATAGACTCAAGACAATGGTTACAAGTACAACTAAATGGGCTACTTTAAGACAGGACAGGCCCCTCAAATACACCTAATTTCAACAGAACAATGGGACAAAATCCCATAACAATAATCTCTCTCGATGTCAATGGGCTAAACGCACCAATTAAAAGACACAGAGTGGCAGGATGGATTAGAAAATTGAACCCAACATTCTGCTGCCTACAAAAAACACACCTTAATAGTCAAAGCAAACACAGACTCAGAGTCAAAGGCTGGAAAACAATCCTACAGGCAAACAGCTTCCATAAAAAAGCTGGGGTAGCCACCTTCATATCAGACCACATCGATTTCAGAGTGAAGAAGGTCATAAGAGACAGTGTAGGCCATTTCTTAGTGATCAAAGGATCTGTACAACAGGAAGAACTTACAATAATAAATATATATGCACCTAATGAGAGACCAGCAAAGTACTTAAAACAACTACTCATAGATTTGGAAAAAGACATCAATAATGACACAATACTAGTGGGAGACTTCAACACCGCTTTGTCACCTCTGGATAGATCAACCAGACTCAAGCTTAGCAAGGACATACTTCATCTGAGGGAAACAATGGAAGAAAGAGACTTAGTAGATATATACAGGACACTTCATCCTCAAAAGGCTGTATACACATTCTTCTCAAGCGTACATGGAACATTCTCCAAGATAGACCACATGCTGAGCAACAAAACATACCTCCATAAAATTAAGAAGATAGAGATTGTATCAACAATCTTCTCAGACCACAATGCGCTTAAAGTAGAAGTAAATCACACACAAAAACAGAAAACTAAATCAAACACCTGGAAATTAAACAGTACGCTATTGAACAATGAGTGGCTTAGACAGGAAATCAAAGAGGAAATCAAAAGATTCCTAGAAACGAATGAAAATGAGGACACGAGTTACCAAAACTTATGGGACACAGCAAAAGCTGTGTTAAGAGGAAAGTTTATAGCTCTACAAGCATTCCTCAGAAAGGAGGAGCGAGCCCACATAAATAAACTAACCTCACAGCTTAAGAACTTGGAGAAGGACCA